AGTCCCACTGGGGATCTTCATTGACTTACGTAAAGCTTTTGATACAGTTGACCATGACTTGCTCCACATAAAATTGTCACACTATGGTATAAGAGGGCACTCCCTCAACTACCTCAAGTCATACCTCAGCAACAGAAGCCAATATGTGTACACAAATGGGGCAAACTCTTCCGCACAACCAATTACAGTTGGTGTCCCACAAGGAAGTGTCCTTGGCCCTCTTCTCTTTATCCTATACATAAATGACCTACCAAATGCTTCGCAATTACTCAAACCTACACTATTTGCAGATGACACTACATACGTCTTCTCTCACCCGAGCCCAGTCATGCTAGCCAATACTGTAAATACCGAATTACAGAAAATATCTACCTGGATGAGGACTAACAAACTTACACTAAACATCGACAAAACCTACTTCATTCAGTTTGGTAACAGAGCTACAGATGTCCCTCTTAACATAATGATAAACGGATCACCTATCACAAAGCTAACAGAGGGAAAATTCTTAGGAATCCACCTTGATAATAGACTCAAATTTCATACACATATACAACAAATTTCTAAGAAAATTTCGAAGACCGTAGGCATACTATCGAAGATACGGTACTATGTTCCACAGTCAGCCCTCCTGGCCCTATATCACTCTCTTATTTACCCCTATCTCACCTATGGAATTTGTGCATGGGGCTCAACAACTATTAACCATCTCAGACCACTAATTACCCAACAAAAGGCTGCAGTCAGAATGATAACAAATTCCCACTACAAGCAGCACACTCCACCAATATTCAAAACACTAAACCTACTCACCATACAAAACATCCATACTTATCACTGCATCTGTTACATACATAGAACACTTAACTCTGAAATTAACCCTCCCCTCAAACATCTCCTTGCCAACCTCAACAGAACACATGACCATAACACAAGGCACAGATCACTCTTTGATGTTCCTCGTGTCCATCTCACGCTATGCAAAAACTCAATGCACATAAAAGGCCCTAAAATCTGGAATTCATTGCCTGTAAATATAAAAGAAACACTACCTGTTTATAAATTCAAGTCTCTTCTCAAAGATCACTTACTCACCCAAAACCAAATAAATACTGAATAACTGAACCTTATAAATTGTATATCTTAAATGTTTCTCACAATTATATCACATAAATGTTAAACTTAAGACCCAATCTAACTTTGTTATTTTTTAAATACACTACCTAACAGAATACTCCATTCTACTGAATGTACAGCAATGCATGCAACCATATGACCTGTCTTTGTAATACTCATTTGTGCTTTATTGTTATCTGTTTACAATAATGTTTTATCACTTATTACATCATTGCTTAGTTAATCTTAAGTTAATTTTAAGCCTGCCCGTAATGCTATGCATACAAGTGGCTTTGGCATGCTGCTCTTACCTGTATTTTTTTGTACCTCTGTATGTATGTTCAAATTATTAAATAAATAAATAAATAAAAAGAGGTGTGTTCGTATGTGTGTGGGGGGGAGGAGGGGCCCTAGTGATGTGTCTTGGGAGCTAAGGGGGTGCCAGCCTGAAAGTTTGGGAACCACTGCCTCAGATGAAGAGCCCCTCGGAAGCATCAAGGAACCTCCCAAGAGGATAGAGCAAGACCTGCCTTGTATGAACGAAAAGGCCTACTTTAATGTTCTATTCTTTTATTCTTATCTTTTATATAGGCCTGGGCTGTGAAATGAGGTGAGGTAGTTTAGGAGGTAGGATAAATTATGTGAAAAATATATTTAGTACTGTGAAGGAAAAAAAAAACTGGCAGGAAATGGCAGAAATCGTACACCAAATCCAGTCATTCCTGGAGTGGAACCACAGTCGATGGCCTCCACTCCAAACCAACAGATACAGATACTAATGCCGGAAAAAAAATCCCCCCCCCCAGTACCAACAATACCACCAGTCCGATGACATTCTTCTTTGCAAATATACAGGGTCTAAAGCCAGCAACAAACAACAAAATACCTTTCATCCGTGGACTGCTTGCAGAGGCAAAGGCAATGTTCGCGGCTTTCACTGAGACCCACATAAAGGATCACTTGGACAACGAAATATGGATCCCAGGTTACAACCTATACAGATGTGACAGAGTGAACAGGCAAAAGGGAGGGGGGGTTGGCCTGTACATTGCAGAGTCACTTGTTTGCACAGAACTGCTAAATGCCTCAAATGATGTAGTGGAAGTTTTAGCAGTAAAGGTCGAGAACCAAAACCTAGTCATTGTGGTAGTCTACAAGCCTCCGGATGCAACATCCCAGCAATTCCAGGAACAGCTGTTAAAAATTGACCACTGTCTGGAAAATCTTCCAGCTCCTGCACCCAACATCTTGCTCCTGGGGGATTTCAACTTAAGGCACCTAAAATGGAGGAATATAGCAAATAATATTGTTGCAGTAATAACACCAGGAGGCAGCTCTGATGAAAACTCACACTCACACGAGCTTTTAAATCTCTGCACAAAATTCAATTTAAACCAGCAAATAATAGAGCCTACTAGACTGGAGAATACACTAGACCTCATCTTCACTAACAATGATGATCTGATAAGAAATGTCACCATATCAAAAACAACATACTCAGATCACAACATAACTGAGGTTCAGACATGTATGCGTGGAGCCCCAGACCGAAATAATGAGACTAGTCACGAGGGAGCATTCACCAAATTCAACTTCAATAACAAAAACATAAAGTGGGACCAAGTAAACCAAGTCCTAACCGATATAAGCTGGGAAGATATACTAAGCAACACAGACCCCAACTTATGCCTAGAACAGATTAACTTGGTGGCACTCGATGTATGCACAAGGTTTATTCCTCTAAGAAAAAGGAGGAGTAGATGTAAAATAGAAAGAGACAGGCGCTCCCTTTACAGGCGACGGAAAAGAATAACAGAGCGGCTAAAAGAGGTCAATATATCTGAAATGCGTAGGGAGACACTGGTCAGAGAAATAGCAAGCATCGAACTTAAGCTAAAGGAATCTTATAGGAGTCAGGAATCGCGGGAAGAACTAAAAGCCATAAATGAAATCGAAAGAAACCCAAAGTATTTCTTCTCCTATGCCAAATCAAAGTCGAGAACAACGTCCAGTATTGGGCCCCTACTTAAACAAGATGGGTCCTACACAGATGACAGCAAGGAAATGAGTGAGCTACTCAAGTCCCAATATGACTCAGTTTTTAGCAAGCCGCTAACCAGACTGAGAGTCGAAGATCAAAATGAATTTTTTATGAGAGAGCCACAAAATTTGGTTAACACAAACCTATCCGATGTTATCCTGACGCCAAATGACTTCGAACAGGCGATAAATGACATGCCCATGCACTCTGCCCCAGGGCCAGACTCATGGAACTCCGTGTTCATCAAGAACTGCAAGAAGCCCCTATCACGAGCCTTTTCCATCCTATGGAGAGGGAGCATGGACACGGGGGTCATCCCACAGTTACTAAAAACAACAGACAAAGCCCCACTCCACAAAGGGGGCAGTAAAGCAACAGCAAAGAACTACAGACCAATAGCACTAACATCCCATATCATAAAAATCTTTGAAAGGGTCCTAAGTAGCAAGATCACCACCCATCTAGAAACCCATCAGTTACACAACCCAGGGCAACATGGGTTTAGAACAGGTCGCTCCTGTCTGTCTCAACTATTGGATCACTACGACAAGGTCCTAAATGCACTAGAAGATAAAAGGAATGCAGATGTAATATATACAGACTTTGCAAAAGCCTTCGACAAGTGTGACCATGGCGTAATAGCGCACAAAATGCGTGCTGAAGGAATAACAGGAAAAGTCGGTCGATGGATCTATAATTTCCTCACTAACAGAACACAGAGAGTAGTCGTCAACAGAGTAAAGTCCGAGGCAGCTACGGTGAAAAGCTCTGTTCCACAAGGCACAGTACTCGCTCCCATCTTGTTCCTCATCCTCATATCCGACATAGACAAGGATGTCAGCCACAGCACCGTGTCCTCCTTTGACATATGACACCCGAATCTGCATGACAGTGTCTTCCATTGCAGACACTGCAAGGCTCCAGGCGGACATCAACCGAATCTTTCAGTGGGCTGCAGAAAACAATATGAAGTTCAACGATGAGAAATTTCAATTACTCAGATATGGTAAACACGAGGAAATTAAATCTTCATCAGAGTACAAAACAAATTCTGGCCACAAAATAGAACGAAACACCAACGTCAAAGACCTGGGAGTGATCATGTCGGAGGATCTCACCTTCAAGGACCATAACATTGTATCAATCGCATCTGCTAGAAAAATGACAGGATGGATAATGAGAACCTTCAAAACTAGGGAGGCCAAGCCCATGATGACACTCTTCAGGTCACTTGTTCTATCTAGGCTGGAATATTGCTGCACACTAACAGCACCTTTCAAGGCAGGTGAAATTGCTGACCTAGAAAATGTACAGAGAACCTTCACGGCGCGCATAACGGAGATAAAACACCTCAATTACTGGGAGCGCTTGAGGTTCCTAAAACTGTATTCCCTGGAACGCAGGCGGGAGAGATACATGATTATATACACCTGGAAAATCCTAGAGGGACTAGTACCGAACTTGCACACGAAAATCACTCACTACGAAAGCAAAAGAGTTGGCAGACGATGCAACATCCCCCCAATGAAAAGCAGGGGTGTCACTAGCACGTTAAGAGACCATACAATAAGTGTCAGGGGCCCGAGACTGTTCAACTGCCTCCCAGCATACATAAGGGGGATTACCAACAGACCCCTGGCAGTCTTCAAGCTGGCACTGGACAAGCACCTAAAGTCGGTTCCTGACCAGCCCGGCTGTGGCTCGTACGTTGGTTTGCGTGCAGCCAGCAGCAACAGCCTGGTTGATCAGGCTCTGATCCACCAGGAGGCCTGGTCACAGACCGGGCCCCGGGGGCGTTGACCCCCGGAACTCTCTCCAGGTAAACACTCATTAACAAGCTCACCTGAGGGTGCTGGTGGTGTGCGAGGTCCTGTAGGCTCCTACCGTACGTAGGACTCAGTACCACAGGCCAGTAGGGATCCCCAGGGCTTGCTTCAATCCACTTCTTACAAGGATATTTATTTTTCGTTCGGTGGATGCGATTTTTCCGAACGTTCTTCTCAGTGCAGTTGCTGATGCTGGGGAAAACTATTTTATCGAGTCTCTTGTGGATGACAGGTTTGTGTACTCTGACAGCAGGTGACGAGAGCAATACAGGCGTAGCACTTGAAGAATTATGTGTCGTCGTGTAACTGTACGTTACTGCATGTATGAGGTGAACTGAGGTGTCAATGGTCTCTGTTTCCTCAACATTCCGTGACAGCAAAAAAACCCGCGTGATGTTACTCTGGGAAGACTGGTTGTACTGCCAGAGACTTTTCAGTTTTGTTTGAACCTTCATCTTATACTCAGTGAGCCCTTCATTGTCATTTAAATACACACACAGTATTACAGTGAGTGCAATGAGTGCTTGCAGAAACTTATATTGCTTACTTAACATTATTGCATATTTATGCCCTTATATTAATTTACACATCATGAATTATCTATTTGGTCTTCTATAAGACCTGCAATTAAGATCCTTTTTTGAAGGAGAATAAAGTACCTCAACACTTGCAGGAGACAGTGATAATATGACACATATAGGAAGAGTAGGAACAATGATGCGAGATATACCACCACCCTCTGCAAGGTCTGGGCGGTAACTGCCGGGTTCACCGGAACACTGATGCTCTACCCGGCACGAGTTGCCACTCTCATCTCTCTTTGTACTTTCATCGATGTATGACCCTAATAATAATAATAATAATATAATATAATATATTTTATTTTGACATGATACATATATGTACAAAGTAGTATAATAGTTGGGTTTAGCGCTTCCACATGATTGTAATAACAATAATTTTACTTTCATTAGCTACATTAATACCCGTTTTTGCTCCTGCTCCCGAGGAGATCCAGATTTAATATTATTTCAATGAACAAGTACAATATGTTTTAATTTTCCTAAACTGACAGTCAAGGACAACGGACAAATTAGTTATTTAGCTACAAAAGAATGATGTGTAGGTGACAAGAGTACGCGTCCCATTAATATATATTATATTCGTGGGAAAAATCAATTTTGTTACTGGAAGAGGATATTTGAGACATATAACGATAGGCACAATGGATTTAACATCAATTACACTAACGAATACAAAAACTACACTTGTGCAACACTTGGGAGTCTTTATTGAGGAAATGTTTCGCCAGCCAGTGCTTCTTAAGTCCATTACAGAGAATAACAGTGGAAAATGAGGAGGAGGAGTTTTGAGGTAATCAGTCCCTCAGCCTGGAGTCGATCAGTCCATCATCATGAGAAATGTACAGCATATGTGCGAAGAAGTGGCTTATATACTGCAGTCAGGTGAGTAGAAGCAGGAGGAGGTAGAGTCACCAATGCAGAAATCCATTAGTGTTTACCTGGAGAGAGTTCCGGGGGTCAACGCCCCCGCGGCCCGGTCTGTGACCAGGCCTCCTGGTGGATCAAAGACTGATCAACCTGGATCAGAGTGTAAGTAGATCATGCCTATAGGTTAGGCAAGCACTGGGGAAATCCCTGTATTAAGATAGCAAGATAATGCTCTATCTGACAAGTGTGATGAAAAGGGTTTTGAAAACGACAAGTTAAAGAATGAAACTTCTGCAGCATTTGGGAATCTTCACTGGGGAAATCTTTCCCCCACTGTTATTCTCTGTATTGGACTGAAGAAGCCACTGACTGGCGAAGCGTTTCCTCAATAAAGATTACCAGATGTTGTACGTGTCTCAATCTTTATTTAATATAGTTATGGGGAAGGTACTAAACCCGTAAGTCATGCAGCGCCTGACCTGGGAATGAGGGATGGGAGGCAACTAAGTTTGATCCAAAGACGTGGGGAGTGGCTCCAGTTCCCTGGATGAAAAGTCCTTCACTGGCCTCAAAGAAAAGAGAGGTGAAGAAAAACCCAGTAATAATATACAATAATATATGATAATAATAATAATAATATAATAAAATAATAATAATAATAATATAATAATAATAATAATAATAATAATAATAATAATAATAATAATAATAATAATTAAAAAATAATAATAAAAATAATCTACAGAAGCCTATGTGCCATTCCAGGAGTGCAGAATCTCAATATAAGAAGCCAGAGGTTGAGCCATGATCGAATAAATTTTATTTAACAGACTAGAAATATATTAGACCTTAGATATTAAAGCTAAATAAGAATTTTGTAAATAAAGAACCTAAATAATGTTACCGCCTTCGAAGGTACTCGCACCTAACCTTAATGAACTATATTTGAAACAAATGTTATCAGTTGTGCAAGAAAGGTATGAAATATGTACCAACAAGATAAAAGTTAAGACACTTGCAACATCTGGTTAGTTCTACTGTCTTCTAATTATGTCCTAGAGTCTGTATTGATAAAGCCACTGGATGGCGAAACGTCTGCAATAAAGATAACCAGATGTTGCACATGTGTCTTAACTTTTATCAAATGTTATCAGATTGTGTGATGTGCGTTGTAAAAGGACAAAGATATTGTGGCGCTGCAGACGACACCAGTAAATGAAGCTGTTATACTAGCCGCGATATTATGTAATTTTAATTTTTAAAGGGGTAGACGGGTAAGCCAGTGGAAAGCCTCGGTCAGATGACCAAAAGCTCCAGTGGTTGATCATTATAGAACTAAGGCCCGGGTCAAGTAGTTCTGTTTCTTGAAGAATCTTACCTAACCTAACCTAACTTGTGTTATATAAGCGCCTGGGATGATGCCTATGTTCATCTGACAGGAATGATAGGCTCAAGCAAACACACTAATAACTAGACTCGTTTCAATTGCTGTGATGATTATTATTATAATCAAGGGGGAAGCGCTAAACCTGTAGGATTATACAGCACCTGTGGGGGGGGGGGACGTGGAAGGTATTTAGACTTAATTCAGGGAACTGGAGCACAGATCCAGTTCCCTAGATCAAGAGCCCCTCACCAGCATCAAGGAACCTTCCTTGAGGGGTCAATTGCTGTGAGATCCGAGGAATGCATCTCTATCCCATAACTCAGTTCCATGTATCTTAACCCACGCACAAGGAAAAGTAGTGTGAGGCATAAGTTTCTCACACAGTCAGTTAAAAAAAAAAACTACTAGGATGTTTAACTCAGTCCTCCATAGAAGTCCAGGAGCTGGAGATCAACACCTTTAAGATGCCCAATTATTATTACAATCAAAACTAAGCGCTAAACCCACAAGGTTCATACAGTCAAGATTGTTTTATTATTATTATCAAGGGGAAGCGCTAAACCCGGAAGATTATACAGCGGCTTTTGGGGGGGGTATGTGGAAGGCATTCAGGCTTAATTCGGGGAACTGGAGCACAGATCCAATTTCCTAAATCAAGAGCCCTCACCAACATCAAGGAACCTTCCTTGAGGGGATACAGTCAAGATGCCTAAGAGATTTAGCTATACTCAAAAAGCCTTAATTATGGTGAAGAGCTTCTGATCTAGGAAATTGTTGTTGCTTCCTTTTCCTTAGATCGAATTTACTTCCCTCTCATTACCCAAGAGTTGCATGGCTCTTAAGGGCCTAAGTTTTCCTCTGAAAATAATAAGGCCCAGGAGCCAGTGTTCAGTTGATTCTCAATTATTATAATCAAGGGAGAAGCACTAAACCCATAGGATTTCACAGCACCTGTGGGAGGGATGTGGAAGGTATTCAAGCTAAATTCAGAGAACTGGCGCACAGATTCAATTCCCTAGATCAAGAGCCCTCACCAGCGTCAAGGAGCCTTCTTCAAGGGGAGTCGATTCTCAAGAATGGTGAAACTTGTTGGGCAATTTCCATGGAGTTTCACAACTTACTGTTCATTTTTTTTAATCACTTGGAAGTGCTAAACCCACACGGATCATACAGCGAATAGGGAATGATAGATAGTCAAGTTCGATCCGAGTAAAGGGTGGATAAGTCCAGTTCCTTTTATTAAGACCCCTTCACCGGCATCAGGTGAGGGACAGAATCCCTTTAGAAGTCCTGAGTTAAAAATACCTGTCCTGGAAACAGGTTTTTGGAAAGTCTCTGATGATCTTGGATACATACTAGACCATTATTATTATAATCAAATATAGCCCTAAACCGACAAGGGTCATGCAGTGTACTAGACCATTAGGTTTTGGATAAAATCACTCTCTCCTAAAAGGTTAAAGGGTGCTGTGTAAAAATACGGTGTAGGTTTAATGCTAATAAAGAAAGGTGTGTTTATTTCTTTTAGCATGACTGCCAATTTTTTAGTGCTTCTCAAAATACAAAAAAAAAATAAATAAAATTTTCTACCTGGAGTTCCCCCAAAATTAAATTTCCCTAACACAATTATTATAATCAAAACTAAGAGCTGAACCCACAAGGGTCATACAGTGCTGCAGGGTAGGGAGTGCTAATGGTTTAATTTATGTACTTGATCTGAGATTAGCGAAGGTGCAGAGTATAACAAGTAGAGTTAGTAAGGGCAGTGAGGAGTGATAAAGGAAGTATAATCAAAGGTTGTGTAATAAATCTGATGATGTCCAAAAGTCAAAGAGGAAGTGTGTGTCAAAGGTGGGGCTGCCAGCAAGAAGGGGGAATAAAGTAAGCGTGTTAGAGCGGTGGTAAATTCTGCGTGCTTGCTGGTAAACAGTATAGTCCAACAGAATATGGTAGACTGAAATTGGAACCTGACAGTTCTCTCAGAGTGGAACTGTGCGCCTCTCATGAGATACCCATGAATGAGACGTGTGCACCCGATGCAAAGACAGGAAAGTGTAGTCTACTAACCACTACATTGATGAAAGATCAGAATCCTAAACACGACTTGATAGAATATAACTTATGAATCAACTCGGACCAACGTCGGTGTTGCCAATGATTGCAAAGATGGTTAAAGATTATAGAAAAATAGTCTGACAATGTAATACCCCTATATTCAACTGGATGGTCATGTACCGCTGACCATGCAGCAGAGTCCACCTGCTCGTTGCCCTGAATGCCAACATAACCAGGGACCCAGCAGAAAACAATTTCTTTGTTTTTGCTGGGTCCCTGGTCCCTTGTTTTTGCAGCACAACCATAGTTGCATATGAACTAGGAAATAAGGCAAATTAATTTTTTTGATAGCCTGCAAAGCACTAAAGGAGTCTGAAATTACCACAAATGTTGAGGTAGGCCTGGATGCAATAAGTATAATTACTACGAGAACTGCATACAGTTCAGCTATGAAAATGCTAGCCGAGTCTAATAAATGACCTTGTACAACACTGCTGCAAACCTGACACTGCCTGAGGATTTAGAACCATCAGTGTAAACTGCAATGGCACGAGAATGAGACCAGAAGCGGTAAAAAAAAAAGGGGAGTGAGAAGCAACTGTAGGTACTTGAGCTTTCGTGCATGCAATGGGGAAGAACAATCTATCAATAATTTGTGAAAATTTCTCTAATTCCATCTCAACATATACCTAGTTATTTCAGTAGTCAACATACACATGACAGTTGTACTGGAAGGAAAATCGACATTATGTATAAAAAGTTTTACCATAAGGACTTTTGCAATAGTTTTATCAAAATCCATTGACTCTTGGCAGCTTGATAAAGAGCTATGGACTAAGTTACATTATATGCTTCAAATATTTTAAGGAAACAATCTTTCTTTCAGAAAGCATATTTTATATTGTTATGCAATCTGAGTAGGTCAATGAGATAGTAATACTGCAGTGTCTTGATAAATGAGGCAATAAAAAAAATTGGCGGAAATAACATTTTTATTATATCAAATACATATATTTAAACTGATGCATTTTTACTCTAATTCAGTAGACATGTATTACTTTATAGTTCCCAAGTAAAATTCTCTACAATAGCACTTTTTTTTTAAAAGTTGGCTGTGTTGATGCATGGCTTCATAAGCCACATGGCATAACACAAGAAAAAGTGGAGTAAATAAAAATAATATAGCGAGGGCCATAACTTGAACATCCCAGTGTAGCAGTAAATGACTACAGTTAGCCTATGTTATAAAGTAAGGAGAAGGGCTAACTGCAGTATTTCATGAAGTCCACTGCTGCTTCCCATAGCAAATATACATATCATTCAGGAACACAAGAAAAAGGTTAAGCATATTTTCATAAAGCATTTATAGTTTATGTAAAATAGATATTTACAAGATGCATAATAGAGGATGACATTTTAACACCCCCGCATAGTGGGAACGCAAAATTGTAACTTGCATACCTAAACACCCGCCTGCTTTGCCTGTGACAATGTCTTGAGTATTATTGTGTGTGATGGAAGCAGCAACTGTTTGCTTTGGATGTAATTTTGATAAGGCACATTTCTTACACAATGCGAGAATACTTAGCCTTCACACAGTACCAATGCAGCCACTAATCTCTGCTCCCATCACATCCACAAAGACCTCTGGTTAACAGCCAAAAAAGAAAATTCATACAAAGGCCTATAATTGTGAATTAATGGCTCTTAAGAGCTTTATTTTCTTTTATAATTAGTACTGCAGAGCAAAGAAACTAGGCCAGTGATTAGGAACATTAAACAACAAAAAGTTCTGGAATAATTCAGAAATCATTTTCTCTGTACACCAATAGAAAATATTACAGTATTACATATATAATAACTGACAAGATTATGCAGTAATACTTGTCTTTGTACATCCAAAAATTTCTTGCATGGTTTTTATACATATAGCAAGAGCTCTTGAAGTACACATTATAGACTGACCAGCTGGTAATAACTTATTCACAAAACAAACATTATTTTGAATATATAATAATCACATGTTATCTGGCTAGAGAACAGGCTTGTTTGTATGTAAGCACATGAAAATAAAATTTCACAATGTTTTTTGCTGAGGCAATTTCTGACACACTGGGAATCACTGGAAAGTTAACAAAACAGCAGGAATCAGGGATCCAAAGACAGAACCTGAAAAACATTAAAAATCATGAGATGCTGTACCTGATTTCATTATAAATACTATTTAACCTTTAAACTGCATCCAACGTACTAGTACACAACTGACGACTGTGTCCAACATACTACGCACAATTTTTTTTACCTGCAAATCTGCCGCCTGCCACTATTTTTGACCTTATCGCAACTCGTTGGCTTTCTACAGTCTCTTCATACCTTTGAAAAAAATCTATGGCTGGAAGGGTCCATGCAGTTCTTTATGATTAACTACACAGGAGACTGAATTTATTTTTTCAAAATCTTCTCCCCCACACAGGATTTTTTTCTTGGGTATGCTGCAGTTTAGGGGTTAAAAAATACAAGCATAATGCATATGATGCAATACAGCATGTCTATACAGTACCACATGTTTGTATTTTTTTAAACTATATTTTGAGAAACTTTTAAATGTTGATGAAGGGAGGCAGTAATTTCATGCATTGGTCAGGGAGGTATAACATCTTTTAGGAGTGAAGACGAGCAGGATGTGAGTGTGGGAGAGGTGCATGAGGCATTACGTAGAAAGAAAAGGGGGTAAAGCAGCCAGAACTGACGGGATCATGACAAATGTTATAAGCTGAGGGGGATACTGTGTTGGAGTGGTTGGTATTTTTGTTTAATAAATGTATGAAAGAGGGGAAGGTACCTAGGGATTGGCAGAGAGCGTGTATAGTTCCTTTATATGAACGGAAGGGGGACAAGAGAGATTGTAAAAATTATAGGGGAATAAGTTTACTGAGTATACCAGGTAAAGTGTACGGTAGAATTATTATTGAAAGAATTAGAGGTAAGACAGAGTAGGACTGCAGATGAGCAAGAAGGCTTTAAAGTGGGTAGGGGATTTGTAAATCAAGTGGTTTACATTGAAGCATATATGTGAACACTATTGAAAGGTAGGGAAGTTTTCACTGCATTTATGGATTTAGAAAAGGCATATGATGGACTGGATAGGGAAGCAATGTGGCAGATGTTGCAAGTGTATGGAAAAGGTAGTAAGTTACTAAATGCTATAAAGTTTTTTTATGAGGATAGTGAGGCTCAGGTTAAGGTATGTAGGAGAAAGGGAGATTACTTCCCGGTAAAAGTAGGTCTCAGACAGGGATGTGTAATGTCACCATGGTTGTTTAATATATTTATAGATGGGGTTGTAAAAGAAGTAAATGCTAGGGTGTTCGGGAGAGGAGTGGGACTGAATTATGGGGAATCAAGTACAAAATGGGAGTTGGCACAGTTACTTTTTGCTGATGATACTGTGCTTACGGAAGATTCTTAAGAAAAGATACAATGGTTAGTGGACGAGTTTGGGAGGGTGTGCAAAGTTAGAAAGTTGAAAGTGAACATAGATAAGAGTAAGGTGATGAGGGTATCAAACAATTTCGATAAAGAAAAACTGGACATCACATTGGAGAGAGGGAGTATGGAAAAAGTGAATGTTTTCAGACATTTGTGAGTTGACTTGTCAGCAGATGGGTTTATGAAGGATGAAGGAAAAAAGGTGAGTGGTGCGTTGAGGTATCTCTGCAGACAAAAAAATGCTATCTACGGAGGAAAAGAAGGGAAGGTATGAAAGTACAGTGGTACCAACACTCTTATATGGGTGTGAAGCTTGGGTTGTAAATGCTGCAGCAAGGAGGCAGCTGGAGGCAGTGGAGATGTGCTGTCTAAGGGCAATGTGTGGTGTAAATATTATGCAGAGAATTCGGGGTGTGGAAATTAGGAGGAGGTGTAGAGTTACTAAAAGTATTAGTCAGAGGGCTGAAGAGGGGTTGTTGAGGTGGTTTGGTCATTAGAGAGAATGGACCAAAGTAGAATGCTTTGGAGAGCATATAAATCTGTAGGGGAAGGAACGAGGGGTAGGGGTCGTCCTCGAAAAGGTTGGAGGGAGGGGGTAAAGGTGGTTTTGTGGGCAAGGGGCTTGGACTTCCAGCAAGCATGTGTGAGCTTGTTAGATAGGAGTGAACGGAGATGAATGGATTTTGGGACCTGATGAGCTGTTGGAGTGTGAGCAGGGTAATATTTAGTGAAGGAATTTAGGGAAACCAGTTAGCTGGACTCGAGTCCTGGAAACGGGAAGTACAATGCCTGCACTTTAAAGGAGGGGTTTGGGATATCGACAGTTTAGAAGGAATTCTTAACTGTCGTATCTGAGCGCCTCTGCAAAGACAGTGATTATGTATGAGTGAGGTGAAAGTGTTGAATGATGATGAAAGTATTTTCTTTTTGGGGATTTTCTTTCTTTTTGGGTCACCCTGCCTCAGTGGAAGGCAGCCGACTTGTTGAAAAAAAAAAAAAAAAAAAAAAAAAAGCTATGAATAACCATTTGAAGAGAGATTTTCTGCTGCAAACTTTCCCCAAACAAGTTTTTTCTTTTTAACTTTTGTAATGTATACAGGAGAAGGGGTTTCTAGCCCCTTGCTCCTGGCATTTTAGTCACCTCTTAAGACATGCATGGCTTATAGAGGCTAGTGAGGCTGAGGTTAGGGTTAACAGGAGAGAAGGAAAGTATGTATTTTCAAGCTAAACTAGACCTTAGAGATGCATGATGTCGCTATGGTTGTTTAACATTGTTATAGATGGGGTTGTCCTAGGTAGTAGGTTGGTAGACAGCAACTGCCCAGGAGGTACTACCGTCCTGCCAAGTGAGTGTAAAACGAAAGCCTGTAATTGTTTTTACATGATGGTAGGATTGCTGGCGTCCTTTTTTCTGTCCTCATGAACATGCAAGATTTCAGGTACGTCTTGCTACTTCTACTTACACTTAGGTCACACTACACATACATGTACAAGCATATATATACACACCCCTCTGGGTTTTCTTCTATTTTCTTTCTAGTTCTTATTCTTGTTTATTTCCTCTTATCTCCATGGGGAAGTGGAACAGAATTCTTCCTCCGTAAGCCATGCGTGTTGTAAGAGGCGACTAAAATGCCGGGAGCAAGGGGCTAGTAACCTCTTCTCCTGTATATATTACTAAATGTAAAAGGAGAAACTTTCGTTTTTCCTTTTGGGCCACCCCGCCTCGGTGGGATACGGCTGGTGTGTTGAAAGAAAGAAAGAAATGTATGAAAGAGGGGAAGGTACCTAGGGATTGGCAGAGAGCGTGTATAGTTCCTTTATATGAACGGAAGGGGGACAAGAGAGATTGTAAAAATTATAGGGGAATAAGTTTACTGAGTATACCAGGTAAAGTGTACGGTAGAATTATTATTGAAAGAATTAGAGGTAAGACAGAGTAGGACTGCAGATGAGCAAGAAGGCTTTAAAGTGGGTAGGGGATTTGTAAATCAAGTGGTTTACATTGAAGCATATATGTGAACACTATTGAAAGGTAGGGAAGTTTTCACTGCATTTATGGATTTAGAAAAGGCATATGATGGACTGGATAGGGGAGCAATGTGGCAGATGTTGCAAGTGTATGGAAAAGGTAGTAAGTTACTAAATGCTATAAAGTTTTTTTATGAGGATAGTGAGGCTCAGGTTAAGGTATGTAGGAGAAAGGGAGATTACTTCCCGGTAAAAGTAGGTCTCAGACAGGGATGTGTAATGTCACCATGGTTGTTTAATATATTTATAGATGGGGTTGTAAAAGAAGTAAATGCTAGGGTGTTCGGGAGAGGAGTGGGACTGAATTATGGGGAATCAAGTACAAAATGGGAGTTGGCACAGTTACTTTTTGCTGATGATACTGTGCTTACGGAAGATTCTTAAGAAAAGATACAATGGTTAGTGGACGAGTTTGGGAGGGTGTGCAAAGTTAGAAAGTTGAAAGTGAACATAGATAAGAGTAAGGTGATGAGGGTATCAAACAATTTCGATAAAGAAAAACTGGACATCACATTGGAGAGAGGGAGTATGGAAAAAGTGAATGTTTTCAGACATTTGTGAGTTGACTTGTCAGCAGATGGGTTTATGAAGATGAAGGAAAAAAGGTGAGTGGTGCGTTGAGGTATCTCTGCAGACAAAAAAATGCTATCTACGGAGGAAAAGAAGGGAAGGTATGAAAGTACAGTGGTACCAACACTCTTATATGGGTGTGAAGCTTGGGTTGTAAATGCTGCAGCAAGGAGGCAGCTGGAGGCAGTGGAGATGTGCTGTCTAAGGGCAATGTGTGGTGTAAATATTATGCAGAGAATTCGGGGTGTGGAAATTAGGAGGAGGTGTAGAGTTACTAAAAGTATTAGTCAGAGGGCTGAAGAGGGGTTGTTGAGGTGGTTTGGTCATTAGAGAGAATGGACCAAAGTAGAATGCTTTGGAGAGCATATAAATCTGTAGGGGAAGGAACGAGGGTAGGGGTCGTCCTCGAAAAGGTTGGAGGGAGGGGGTAAAGGTGGTTTTGTGGGCAAGGGGCTTGGACTTCCAGCAAGCATGTGTGAGCTTGTTAGATAGGAGTGAACGGAGATGAATGGATTTTGGGACCTGATGAGCTGTTGGAGTGTGAGCAGGGTAATATTTAGTGAAGGAATTTAGGGAAACCAGTTAGCTGGACTCGAGTCCTGGAAACGGGAAGTACAATGCCTGCACTTTAAAGGAGGGGTTTGGGATATCGACAGTTTAGAAGGAATTCTTAACTGTCGTATCTGAGCGCCTCTGCAAAGACAGTGATTATGTATGAGTGAGGTGAAAGTGTTGAATGATGATGAAAGTATTTTCTTTTTGGGGATTTTCTTTCTTTTTGGGTCACCCTGCCTCAGTGGAAGGCAGCCGACTTGTTGAAAAAAAAAAAAAAAAAAAAAAAAGCTATGAATAACCATTTGAAGAGAGATTTTCTGCTGCAAACTTTCCCCAAACAAGTTTTTCTTTTTAACTTTTGTAATGTATACAGGAGAAGGGGTTTCTAGCCCCTTGCTCCTGGCATTTTAGTCACCTCTTAAGACATGCATGGCTTATAGAGGCTAGTGAGGCTGAGGTTAGGGTTAACAGGAGAGAAGGAAAGTATGTATTTTCAAGCTAAACTAGACCTTAGAGATGCATGATGTCGCTATGGTTGTTTAACATTGTTATAGATGGGGTTGTCCTAGGTAGTAGGTTGGTAGACAGCAACTGCCCAGGGAGGTACTACCGTCCTGCCAAGTGAGTGTAAAACGAAAGCCTGTAATTGTTTTACATGATGGTAGGATTGCTGGCGTCCTTTTTTCTGTCTCATGAACATGCAAGATTTCAGGTACGTCTTGCTACTTCTACTTACACTTAGGTCACACTACACATACATGTACAAGCATATATATACACACCCCTCTGGGTTTTCTTCTATTTTCTTTCTAGTTCTTATTCTTGTTTATTTCCTCTTATCTCCATGGGGAAGTGGAACAGAATTCTTCCTCCGTAAGCCATGCGTGTTGTAAGAGGTGACTAAAATGCCGGGAGCAAGGGGCTAGTAACCCCTTCTCCTGTATAAATTACTAAATTTAAAAAGAGAAATTTTTGTTTTTCTTTTTGGGCCACCCTGCCTCTGTGGGATACGGCCGGTTTGTTGAAAGAAGATGGGGTTGTAAAAGAAGTGAATGCCAGGGTGTTAGGGAGAGGTGGTGAATTTAAAGATAAAGAATCTGATACAAAGCGAGTCATCACAGAGGCTTTTTGGGAAATTCTGAAGAGAAGTTGCAAAGGTTGGTGGATGAATTTGGGAGAGTATGAAAATAGAAGTTAAACTTGAACCTAGAAAAGAAAAAAGGTGATGAAAGTAACAAAAAAAATTAGGTAATGAAAGACTGGATATCAGGCTGGAAGAAGGGATTAAGGAGGAAGTATTCGGATATTTTGGAGTGGATCTGTCGGCAGATGGGCCTATGAAAGATGAGGTGAAGCATACAATCGATAATTGGAAAAAAAGGTGTGTGCAATGACACGTCTATGGAGACAAAAAAGTTATTCATGGAGGCGAAAAGGGGAATGTGTGTGAGAGTACATGGGTGTGAAGCATGGGTTTTGAATGTTGCAGTGAGGGGAAGACTGGAGGAAATGGAGATGTCATGTCCAAGGGCAATGTGTCATGTGAATATTTTGGAGATTAGGTGGTGTGGGGTTACTAAAAGTGTAACCCTGAGGGCAGAGGAGGGATGATTGTGGTGGTTTGGGCATTTAGAGGATGGAGCAAAATAGGATGACTTGGAGGTTGTATAAATCTGTAGCAGGGTAGGAGGCAGCCCTAAGAAAGATTAAAAGGTAAAGGAGAATTTGTATGCAAAGGGCTTGGATATCCAACAGGCATGTGTGAGGATGTTAGATAGGAGTGAGAGGTAAGTAGTTTTTATGACTTGATATACTGTTGGAGTGTTAGCAAGGTAACATTTAGGAGGGGATTCAGGGAAACAGGTTTGCCAGACTTGAGTCCTGGTAGCGGGTAGTACAATGTCTGCACTCCGGAGGAGGGGTGAGAATATTGCAGTTTGGAAGGGCATCTGAGCTGTATGTTGGCTTGCCACTGGCAAGACAATGATGGAGTAATGAAAGTATTTCTTCTTTTTCTAGCTATCCTACCTCAGTGGGAGACAACTCGTGTGAAAAAAAAAAAAGCAGGAATCAAAATTTTGCTGGAACTAAGGTAGAAGTTTTCAACAAGAAACTAAACCACTACCTGCTGCTAGTGCCTGATCAGCCAGGTTGTGATGGCTACATGGTCCTGAAGACTAATAGTAACAACAGCCTAACTGACCAGACACTCATGAAGAAGCCAGGCCTCATGATGGGTTGCGAGGGTAGAAGAAGCCTCGTATGTGGTCACAAGTATGGATGCTGAATAACTAAAATATACTTATGATTCTGACTGACTTGGAGCAAATTAAATAGATGGATCTAGAATTCAAACTTCATAAGTAATGTAGCAAAATCAGTCTTTCAATAGTCAGAAAGAAAATATCAGGCTCTGAGATTATAATACCTACCATGCTTAAGATGCCCAGGCAGCCAATTCAGCCATATCTTCTTCGTCTTCTTCCTTCTTCCTGCGCTCAGGCTTTGCAGGAGCAATGGTGGGAACTTCTGGCAGTTCTGATACAGGCTCGCCAGTGCTTAAGAGCTTCTCGTCTAAGTCTATCTGTTCCAATTCTTCTAATTCAGCCAATAAGTCATCCTAAAAGTATAAAAGAAATTACCTTAAGTATTTTTGTATTTAATCTTTTCATTGCCATAATGTACCTGGAATCTAAAGCTAAAAGGAAATAAAAATTGTTCATTGTTACTATTATTATTATTCATCCTATAATGAACTTGTTAGGCAAGTCTTCGTTAAATCATCTGTAACTGTTGAATGCCTATACAATGTGGTGTGACAGGCAAATTCCAAAACGTAAATTCTTTATTAATATTTTGTATTGATGATTTTAACCTTATTATGTGTCACTCAAATTCTCCAAAAGATATCTTTGTTATCTGTCATTTGCCACTTTAGGCCATGTTGACAAGATATGTTAGGCCCTTTTTCCAGTTTCAGAGATAATTAAGCTATCTTTTTTGCTAAACATAAAAGAAAACAACTACTTTTTTAATCCTTATTTATTATTTCTCATATTCAATCACATTAGCTATAACACTAAAGTCACACAAAACTGTGTTGATGTCGTCTATCATCTATACCTCTTTAGGCTGTGATCCTGTAATACAATGCGTTGCACAGCAGTAAAGAATAAGCATCACCATACACAAAATCTGGGTTAGTGAACGAATCGATCTTCTAATGTTCTGTCTATGGGAATATGTACACTATCTTCATCTACAAGATAGGTAGCTCAGAGGCCCATTAAGTATTTTAACATGAGCTTCACAGATCTGATCTCCCCGACACTTGCATTTTTCTCTATTGCTTGAACCTGATGCTTATTCTTTTCTGCCATGCAACATCTCACATGCTAGGTCCTATCTCCATCATGTTTCATGAGTAACTGAATTATCAGTCTCCACTGGGGAACTGTAACTATTAGTGACAATGTAATTACATAATTCTTCAAAGATAAAAGTGTGAGCTCAAAGATCAACACAAAAATAAATTATCTGCATGTCACAGTGACCATTATGTATCACATAGTAATGAACCTGGAGGATCTAAGCAATCAATTACAATCTAAATTCAGTAAACCTTTGATTTATTGGACTAATAGGGTAAGGCAAGGTCAGTAATGGAGATTGTGTTTGAAAAAATGAAGTTATTTTGCAGCAGTCAAAACAATTATGGACAATTCTGTAACTAACAAACACTGATTTTAAATCAACGAACCCAACTGATTTTCTCCCCGATTTCTGAAGTCGTTAAATCAGGGTCCATTAAATTGCGATTTTATTGTAAAGCAACATTAATTACTACTCAAAATGTTCAAGATTCTCTGCATAAAATTTAGACATGGATTCCCTTAGTACATACTACAGTATAAAAAATATGAGAAAAATGTAAAGTAAAATAATTTCCCTCTATATTACTACCTTTAACTCAAACAAAAGATAAAATTGCAATATAATATGACACTGCCATGTCATGGGTTCTCTCACAAGTACAAACAAATCAAACGACCACAGACAAACAAAAAATTATTAAACTGCATTAGATACAGGTATATAACATTAGAATTAGAAAATCTGAAGGAGAATTAATCTAATGAATACAGTGGGTAAAGTGAATGGTAGATTTATTACTGAAATAGTTAAGTTTGAGGAGGAGGATTTAAGAAGGGTAGAGGATTTGTAGTAGGTGAAGTGTTTACAATGAAACACATAAATGAACAACATTGAGATAATGGTAAGGAACTGCAGCATTTATGATTTAGAAAAGGCATCCAGTAGGGTCGATAGGGGAGCAGTTTGGCAGATGTTGCAAATAAAATGGAACAGTGAATAGGTTACTAAAAGCAGAAGGGAAGTACAGTGACTGCATTCTACAGGAAGGGTGGGGATATTTGCAATCTGGAGGGACATCAAAACTGAAGTATTAACATGCTTCCAGCAAGACAGTGATAGAATAACTGATTGTGAAAGTGTTTTATTTTTCTGCTATACAATCAGCACAACTTGTTTAGGTTGCTACACTATCAATGCCACCTGTTCCCAGGAATACTCTACCCAGAGTGATTATTAATAAAACTGTAAGACTAACTTCATCAATATCATCTCCGAACGCCACTGGGTTAGAGATTGCTTCTGAAATTTCACGTGCTACGTCCTGCTGCTCTGCTATATCATCCATCATGTCATGCACTTCATCCACATTCCTGCAAATGAACAGTGATTAGTCACTATTTTCATATGATTTTATGTAAGAAATTAAACCTACACTTGCAGCATTTGCTATGCTACAGTAACAAATTAGTTAACTGACTGCACTTAAAAAAAATCAAGTGTGGAAAGGGTGAGAATTACTTGAGCCAAGTTAGAATGCAGAAAGGGCAATGGATAAGCGAGAGTTGCAATAGAGGAAGAAGAGCACGAGTATAAAAGGGAAGAGAAGCACGAGTATAAGGGGGAAGAGGAGTATGAGAGCAAGGATGAAGGGTAGGAGCTAGGTAAGGAAGAGTAGGGAGCAGGGAGGAGGAATAGAGGGGGAGGAGGAAGAGCAGGAGTGGGAGAGGGGTAGGAGGAAGAAGAGAAGGAGTGGGAGAGGGGTAGGAGGAAGAAGAGTAGGAGTGGGAGACGAGCAGGAGGGAGAAGAGTAGGAGTGGAGAGGGGTAAGAGAAAGAAGAGTAGGAGTGGGAAAGAGGGGGAAGAAGAGTAGAGAGAATAGAGAGAATGGAGCAGTAACCAACAGCTGCAGATGGAATATTGTAGCATGTGATCCACATGATGTAAAGTATGTATCAGTATGACATATGGGTAACTGAACAGACTATGCAGTTTCCAGTGGTATTTAAGAGGATTTAGCATCACATTGGAACTGGGAGTAATGAAGTTTCGGCAACAAGTGTAACAAGTTTTGACATAACCTATCACAAGGGTCTGCCAGAGTTTGCTCCAATGACATAAATTGCCTTCAAGCTATAGTCATTTCTCTTTCTTCATACGTAACAGTACTGTATTCAGTACTTACATATACAGTAACTGAACAGAACTACTTGCAGTTTTCCAGCTGGTATTTAAGAAGGATTTTCTAGCATCACATTTTTGTGAACTGTGGAGTAAATGAATGTTTTCTGCAAGAAGTGTTATACAAGTTTTTGCAACATAACCTATCACAAGGGTCTGCTCAGAGTTTGCTCCATAAACTATCACTAGAATTGGCCCTTTCAAGCTTATAGTCATTTTCTCTTTTTACTTTCATCATCACTGCTACAGTCATTATCATATAATGAAGTACTGTATCACCTATATCTTCAGGGGAGGAAAGGGTTAAGTGACTCGTGAAATCATAATGACATGATTGCAAACAAACCACAGTACATGGTTTGTTTGTAATCATCTCATTATGATTTCATGAGTCATGACAATGGCTTTGAGGGGACTTGATCTAGAGTTCATCACGGCTATGTTAGTGGGAGATTCATCCGTAAAAACTTGCATTTGCGGTCACAGTGGGACCCATGTTAACCTCCCTATGGTGTATAAATGCACCTAGATGTACAAACCCTATTGTAGCCAGATGGCCCAGTGGCTTATGTGGTGGCCTGAAGTTTTACGACTCACTTGCCACGAGTTCAATCCCCACCCTTAACGTGGTTTGGTTAAGAGTGAAGCAGAGGCAGTAGTTACATTTTGTCGCAGACAGATATTTGCATTACTGCTCTCAAAAGACTCAATATATCTGCGAAATTCTTCACTGAAATTTGTGGTTCGTGCGTCAGTTTGCGTGCGGCCACCAGTAACAGCCTGGGTTGATCAGACCCTGATCCACCACGAGGCCTGGTCTCAGACCAAGCTGCAGGGGCGTTGACCCCCAAAAACGTCTCCAGGTATACAACTTGCATCACTGCTACTTGTTACTATATGTACATAGATGACCTGGATATAGGTACAGGTACTAGTTTTTTCTCTCAAGGTCTCAAGAATCTTTAATTGACCCCATGTAAATTAAGTCCCCAAGAGAAATTTTAAGGTTGATTAAGCTGAAGGGATCAGGTTCAAAAAAATCTCTGGCTTCAGTCACTTCAAAGTTTTGGTATTTGACTGTATGCCTAAAAACTATACCTACCAAGGAACTATCCTTTAATGAAGTTCATTTCTCAATGAAACTTGCACTAGTAGTAGTTCTTCAATTCTGGACTTAATTTCAAATCCAAAGTACAAATGAAAATAAGTAGAAAGTACATAAATCACTATCTGCCAAGCTTAGGGAAATCCTAGACTTAAGTATGACAAAGTATAGACTACTGAAACAGAAGCTAAAACTGCTTACATGTGTTGGTGAGCTGATTTGAGGGCTTTAGCAGCCTCACTCATTGTTTGTAAGACATTGGTGTTTGTGTTGGCAGATTCAAGGGCTTCTCGCTGCATTTCTATAGTACTAAGAGTTCCATCAATCTGTTGAAGCTGCTTATCATACCTCTTCTTGCGCTTCAATGCTTGCAAAGCCACTATAAGGAAAAATAAGTTAGTCAATTACATGTACAGTTATTCTCCTCAAAATATTTTTGTATGTGCATATAACAAAAACTGATTACAAAATAAATTCCACTTCCAACAAACCAGCCATATCCCACCGAGGCAGGGTGGCCCAAAAGGAAAAACAAGTTTCTCCTTCTAAATTTAGTAATATATACAGGAAAAGGGGTTATTAGCCCCTTGCTTCCCCAAAAATTTTATCAGTTGAAAAACTATGGTCATTGTACTAACAGTTGAGCTTTTACAGTATGGAAAGCAATTTGTTTACAAAGGGACAGAATCCCATGACTCCCTCAATCTTTTCAAGCCAGGGAGATAAAAATGGCATGACAGAAATCTGCAGAAAAGTACTGTACATTCTTAAAATGAACAACCTTTAAATCATTAGGAATTTTTGCTAGCCAGTCTTTACATAAGTTTTCTTGGAGCTACTGTTTATGGAATTGTTGAGAGTAAGAATGCTGGTTTGGTATCTTAGTGCAAGTAAGTTTCACTTACTTACTAAATAGACTAACACCCACATACCCATTTTACTGATGGGGAACATAGACAACAGGTGTAAAGAAACACACCCAATGTTTCCACCCTGCCTGGGAATCAAACCCAGGCCCTCGCCATGTGAAGCGAGAGCTTTAGCCACCAGAGCCTAAGTGAAGTATGAAACTTACTTGCACTAAGATACTTACTGCCCTATGTACTATACTCTTTCATAACTATTTATTTACACTTTTCTAACATATAAGAGATTATTATTGGTATATTAGTGCATGTCTAAATGTCTAAAAAAAATATTGCTCAAGATCATACAACTCTTACAAACTAGACTTAAACACATTCTATCTACTTAAGTAGAATGGTCAAAACATTTGGCAAATATTTACTTTCTTCCCAGGTACGAGTTTATCAATAATTTCTAAGCTATATCGTTCAAAATTAATGTGACTGCGCAGTGGAGATACTGTAGTTTTACTCTGAGTAAATGTATAAAGAATAAGTAAATATGATGTAACTCAACCCAACCCAATGTAACCAACCTAACCTTACATAAGACAACCTAATATAGACTTAATGATTTTACAGTGGGTCACATACTTTTAAAGGGATGAAAGCAGGTACTAATGCACTGAGGAAGTGGTGAAGGATAGTGTAGTTGTCAGAGTGCAACCAGTGACCCCAAGAAAAAAAAATAGCTGGGTCACTGTCATATGACTGTATTCCTACAAGTATTATGCTTAATATTCCGAACAAATAATTTGCACAACAAATAACAGATATAACTGAAGATTTTCCTTGGTGGAAATAAAACATTTTATAGAGTATTACAATATACAAGTTATCTATGCCAAGAAATACACAGTTAATTCTTGGTCAAATTGTTTTTGGGAATTATTAGTGAAAATAATAGTACAAGCAACATGTCAGAGCCAATCAATACTTAGTACTGTGGCCTGGCCAATCATAGCAAATGTAAACAAAGACCAATGACATAAATGGTATACAATATCAACAAGTTGAGGAGTAAGACACATGTAACATCAGGAATATTTGTTGAAACTTCTTGCCTCCACTGCTGACTTCATCAGTTGAGTAGAGATGAATTACACTCCTGGAGAGATCAACTTCAATGAAAGATTCCTAGTGTTGCTCATGTCTTACTCTTCAACTTGTTGGTATTGTGTACCATTTATATGATGCATGTCTAATACTGCAACATTATGGAATCTTGGTACAAGGGATGTCTTTATCAACCCCCTTTGCTAACGACTGTAAAGCATGACCTACTTCCACTAGTGGGTCCATCTCACTTGTGACATCTCCAAGCTGCTACACCTCACCTTCCACTACATAAGCCTCTTGCCACAAGCTTCTGCTTTAGTCTGACTGACTATCTTGCACCAAGGGTGATGGACTGATACATCAAAATACCTCTCCACTTTGTCTATTTCGTCTTCCACCGAAGTTAATCACTCCAGGAGTGTAATTATCTCTGTATTTGACTGACAAAGTCTGCGGGGCTGGCGAAACATTTTGTCAATGAAGATTCCTAGTACTGTACTTCAGATGTTTTATTCTTTAACTGATGACAGAGTAAGGTTAAGACATGTTAGGTTATTTTAGGTTGGGATAGGACGGTTTCATTAGGTTACTTTTTTAACCATTTGCACAACAAAATAACATCTCCTATGTAAAGCCAACTTAATACTGTACAATTCAACCTATATTTAATTGACAAAATGAGCCAAGGTGTAGTCTTTAATTATGGATATGGATATGGATATGGATAACACTGGTGTTATTTATATGCCGAAATTTTGGGTCACTGTGTCACATGAATTTCTAAAAAGTATTACAACAGCTAATATATTGATATAACAATGTGCATAAAAATGTTCCCTATAGTATGATAGCATTATCTAATTATAAGAAAAAATGATTGGGCTTTGTCCTGGGAAAAGTAAATATTTATCAAATATTTAAGCATAATGGTCAAAGTACTGAAGTAGAACAGTGAGTTTCATAAAAAATAATATATATACCACACATATAATATTGATGAGGGGAATGTTCTGGTGTAATGATAACTGTTATATTTACCACCATACATGCAGGTAGTGACCATAAACACTGTGGTTACTACCTTCATCATATGCTCACCTCTCTTATTTTTGGTGCCGTGTTGTTTAGCAATGGTGATTTCTTGTTGAATTTTCTTTTCTAGGAAGTCTTGTTTCTTGATCAACATTTCCTCGGTGTCTCTGAGCTTCTGGATGGCTTCCCCCGTCGTGGGAGCCTTCTCGTTCTTACCACCACCGAAGATCTTCCCGAAAATGCTCATATTCTGCAAATGGGGGCACGTAGGGAGGTAAAATATGAAAAATATCTCCAGCACCCTATCCTGCCACCGATCAACGTCGCCAGTACAAACAAACTACTGTGGTTATTATCACCGCTCACCTCACCTGTCTCACTACACTTTATTACCTACTTTTTCACCAACATCTCTACTTAAAAGTTACTATATATAAATATAGAGAAGAACAGCTAGTTCTGATCTTTACTATGGATTACGAGTGTGTAGTATCAGTAAGGTTATTGCTGAGTGATAATAACAATATTCCCCAGGGGTGATGACGTCAAGGTGACGTCACAGTCAGGCCGGCATGACTCACACTGGGGCGACCACCTACTGTTATGCACCAAAACTCATATACTGCTTCGTAAATGCAAATACATATTTCTTTCACAGTATTACTGATGCATAGGGTAATATGGAAGTAATATCTTGGTTTATAGGACAGTTAAGAAGAAACTGTGTGTGTTATCAGATAAGGCGCCAGTAGTCTTGCCTCGCCAGCTACTGGCTGATATGACAAACTACGTTCATTTTCAGTAATTTCCTGAGACTGATCACTGAGACCAGCATCGATAATCACGAGAGCGAGATATCCATCCAGTCAATCATCTGTGGAATATATCTGGACACTTGTGGGGGCTTCTCTGATATAAGATGATTAATGCCATTTCACATTTAACCTCACAAATTCCCATGTGTATTTTTCTTCTGGATAAATTATGGACTAAGAATCAACAGGAATAGCGTCACTCGTGCACAAGCATGAAACAGACTTCAGACATGGAGTGTCCGTAGTGGCAGACTTCCTAGCTAGCAAGCTTGTCCCTGATATTGGGTCAGTGTTGAGAAAGTTCTCGACAAATCCTAAGGCCAACTGTTCTTCGATAATAGCTTTGTATCTTCCATTGAGCCCCTTTCTTGTCAAGTTACTCATTAGGGAGTTTAATTGTCCTAGTGATTTGATTTCTTAAAACTGGTAATACTGGACACTCTGGCATCCTAGGCAATCAAACCCGGTACTGATCATCCTTTTTATTTATTTATTTATTTATATATTTATTTATTAATTTAAACATGATACAGAGAAGTACAAGGAATACAATTTTTAAAGTGCAGCATGCCAAAGCCCCTTGTATGCAGAGCATTATGGGCAGGCTTAAACTTCACATTGTTCAAAGGTTTGATGGGTCTTCCCATGTTCTTGAGGCACTTGTGTTCCCTTGATTCTTCCACATAAAAATCGCATAATTTATAGGCTGGCTCTCCACCACCTCCATAATTCTTTGTATTTAACTCATCCATGTGCACTAATTTCCACCATTACCACAGACTCTGCTGCTGACGTTCTTCCTTCTGGAGGTTCTGCAAATTCTGGCGGAATTTTGCCAGTTGTGATATGAACAGAGAAGGACCTATACAGGCAAGTACATTAGTTTTCCAGCATTCTGGTCATACGGACATTTAGGCAATGCCCGGTGGGTCGCGTAAAAAAAAAATTGGAAAAATGTCACGAAAAACTGAAGTCATAGATGAGGAACAAAGATTGAAATGAAAATGTAAAGCACCTTAACTGAGCAGTGAAAACACTCCTCTGGCCCTCTGCAGTTAATGAGCCGACCTGATAAGTGATTGATGCCCTGGCCGAACGTTTTAAGACCCAGTCCACTTCTGGATTAGATCTCACCAGAATTGCTGCAGCGCCTTATGATTCTTTTGCAGTGTCCGCCTAACCTGATCGAGCAGCCAACTAGCTCATACAATAGTCTGGGGCTTGCTACCAACCCTTCCAGTGATATTTTCTGGGGATTCTCAAACTCAATATGATCACGCAGTTCACTAATAATAAGTGATCTTTGCGATCTTAGTCAAAACAGATTATTATTATTATAATCAAAAGAAGAGGTGAAAACAGATAGTCTGGTTTCCACTGTGTGATCGTTCACCAACACTGCCAGAGCCATGATCAAGGCTCCTTCATCTCAGATGCTCTCTCTCTCTCTTTATTCGATGTCCTCACTAAGGTTCATCACATCTGCCACTACCTCAGACTTCGGCATATATTCATTCTTACTCGGAGCTGTATTTTCCCTAGCCAGGTTTTCTCTCGGGTTATTGCATCATAGTACAGCATGTCACAGTTCAGTATTGTCTTACAATCATTTAAGTCTACTGCTCAACGTGCAGTACTACAGACAGCTGGTGCTGATGTGTCCACCATCGGAGAACTAGCATAAATATTTTTTATCTAGTTTATGGCCGGTAGGGACATTTCCTTGGTATAATATGACTTGACCTTTGACTAGTACAAATATTTAATTATCACCCAAGAATTTTTATTTTTTTCTAGTTTATTTCTGGCAGGTGGCCCTTCTGCTTCCAAATCCAAATGAGAAATGAGATCATCAACCCATCAATAATTTGGTTCATTATGATATGAAACTTGACACATTGTCCATGCATGGTGGCACTGTTGAGTCTCCTAGATCATAGTTGCTATGATTCATTCATGATCTGTCCGGTAATGTACATCGGTAATGTAGATCTTTTGTTTCACTTCTTGAACTTCATTATACTGAACATGGAGCGTAGTTGGCATTTAGTATTATGGGTCTGCACGTGATGTAAGACTGTTCTGTCTCACATTTAGGAAGATGCCTTTCCTTCACGTTGGGGCTACAAATACTGTAATGCACTCCAACAGCACCTGGCAAATCTAGTCATCAGTGTGTGTTTTTAATGATTCCAATTATTATTATTATTATAAAAAAGAAGCGCTAAGCCACAAGGGCTATACAGCTTAATGATTCCAAAAAATGAGGAATAGCTCGTTAGGATTTCATCTAGTGTTCCACTCGTGGTGCCCCATCCTCAGTAATATGTTACTTTTTTCTTCGTAATTCCTGTTAAATTACTCCAAGGATAAAAATGAAAACCTTTGATGCAGTAAGATATTTATTAATGCCCATATACACTGCATGTAACAGCACTAATAACAGTCACATATAAGCGTTTTTGAACTATGATTCCATACTATTACTAGTTCAAAAATATTCGTGGAAATGTTCATTGTTTGATGCTCCCACAACTTGATAAAGAAATATTTCCTTTGCATTACATTTTCGGCAGTTTCAGCTGTTTCTGGCCAAAGGAAAAACACATTAACCATCAAATGCTCACTAGCTGCCATTTAAGAAGGGCACAGACATCTAGTGGATAGACACATTTGTAATATAATGCGATTCTTTACTGAAAACGTTTCACAAATAAATCTGATTTGGTAAAGCCTAACGTGTAGTCGAAACTTTGCTAATAAAGGACCGCATTATACTGTACCTGTGTTTTTATCCATCGTGTTGGCATTTTGTTCCATTCCTTTCTATAGACATCCAGTGATGAAGCATCTAACCACATTCCAACATGACTTAAAAAGTCATTATATTCCCACCTCCAAAACACCTCATGTAACACGCGCACTCATGCTCCCACCACGATCCTAGTTCGCAGCCTTTCTACGAAAAAAATGCTGATTGCCGAACGCTGCCGCCAACTGCGCCTGCCGATGACGTTGCTGAGCCTGCTGAAGGCGCTGCTGTGCAGCTTGCTCATCCATGACCTTGGCAATGTACGCCACACTGGTGGTTAGTAAGATACCCAGAAGCAGCAACATCGACGACGAAAACAAAGATTGCAAAAGAGAGCTTATACCCTCGCGATCTATCGTCTGTTGAGTGCTAGTGACTGGTGTATCATCTGGAGTTTCACCAGGATCACTGAGGGGGTTGGGCTCCTCTTGTGTTGGAGTGGAAGTGGTCCTGTTGACTTCCGGCGGAGTCACCTTGAAGATTGGAGCTTCCATTTGCATGTTGCTCTGCTGTGGTGGCCTATAGTTCACAAAGTCACCGCCAAATGGATCGCTATGACTCACATGAGAGTCCTGATCCAGTTGTAGCGAATCTTGGTTTCTATCCGCCTGTGAAGAATTTATATGTTTAACGCTGTCAAGTTTGTTAATGTGTCTGATGCTTGTCTCAACAATGTCAGCCACTGCTAAAGAGTTGAACTCTCCGATGGAATGGTTTAAAGGTGGTTGTGAGGAAAGCAGGGTGGTGTGAGCGGGGATTCCAAGTTGAAGTGCATTTTCGACATTGCTGGAGGCATGTGCCGCCTCAGGAATGCTAGTGGTAACCCCGTCAGATGTTTCCTCGATTATGGGAAAACCCTTCGATGGTACATAGTCACTAACAGTAACAGGAAGGCTGTTTTCCTGACTGTTGTTGCTTCCATGATGACCATGGTAGGTATCAGCAGATATGGTATTTACATGATAGGCGAAATTGTTATCAGTGGGTTGCAATGTGTAGCTGCTTTTGGAACCATGATTATGTGAACTATGTATACTATGACCATGCGCAATGGTAGGGCGGTCAGACAGGAGGGAGGCGTGAACATTGTGTTGATTGCTGATGCCGTCTGGCTCCACGTGTGATACTGGAGACAGGTGCGGGTGGCCGGGAAACAGGTGGAATAAGCTAGGTGGAAACGGTAAAGGCATTGGATTAAGGTGCTGGTAATGGTAGGGACGAACGGTGGTGGTGGACAGTACAAGGAGCCTGCACCGCCATCACTAATGACACATCTGGTTTAATCTCTACTGGAAGACGTGATGTGATTTCTTCTTGATCCTGAGTCAGTTGTGTCCGGTTTAATAAGAGATTATTTTCTTGGTGCTCTGAATTAGGATGTGGTGCCTCAGTAGGAAGTAGTATCTGCTGTGTTGAACGACTGCGAACATTCAAATCCTTCTTTCGATAGTTACCGCCACTAAAATGGAGACGAACTGGGGCTTCTAACTCATTGCCGGCACTACTCTTTAGGATGCCGTCTTGTAAAGTCAAGTTTTCACTATTTTTTATGGAGACATTCCGAGTTGTAAGGTTTGGCAGCTTTGAACCCTTATCCGTGTAGTACTCGCCCATATGAGGAGCAATTGGGCTTTCCAGACTATTAAATCCTCCAACTAGCGTCTTCAGGTCCGGTGCCTTCAACTGTTCGTTATCCATTAGCATGTCTGAAGGAGGACCCTCAAGACTAGGGACGCGGGTGACGGGGTTCTCGCCATTGTTGTACACAGCTGGAATCCTGTCTTGTTTCTCTAGCAACGTCATTCTGGACGAGTGTTCATGGTTCATCTTCCACAGCTCCTCTAGAATTTGAGAGTCTTTCGGAATCATTTCGCCAACTCCAGTCTGGAGTGGTATACTCATTTGACTTTCCATAAGAAAGCTGGGAGGGAGCGCGTAAGGCCAGGCAAGTTCATTACCAGAGTTAGGGTGCAATGGATGAATTCCAGAATTAGTGTCAGTATCATCTACACCGTGATCCCCTTGGAATTTGGCATCTGTGACATTATATTTATTTTCGGAAAACACTGTGTTAAGTTCATCGTATTTTTTAAAGTTTTCATTATCATTCATAAGATAGTAATCTTCGTAAATGCCGTACTCCAAAGAAGCCATCGACTCTCCTTTTCTCATAAACTTAGTGGGGCTCAGGATCAGTTCTCCGTCTATTTCCTCGTAATAATCCTCATACCCAGAAGCACTCACTTCGTTCTCGAATGTAGACGCTTTGTTGATGGCATACCGGACGGCTTCTTCAGAACGAAAGGCAGAATTATCATTGAGGATTTTATCAGCCTTTGGAAATTCACTTATGGGAAACACACTGCTAGGGGAATTATTGGTAATTACGGTGGTAAATGCTTCCGTAGAACTGGAAGACTTGGTATGATTAATCCAAGTGACAAGACTAGGTTTAGTGCTGCTATAGGATGTCTCTGTCCCAAGTGAGTGAAACACTGCATCATCGATGGGAATCACGGTAGTATCTACCAATTTATTTTGTGCCTTCTCTGGAAAGTTGCTTCAGGATAAAATATATTATTAATGTAAATACCAGATGGCTTGTAGCTATCATTCATGTCTAGTTGAGCTGCAGGTACTTCAGGACTTGTTTCTACTAAATGCCAGGGTTTGTACACATTTTCATCCAATTGTCTATGGATTTCATGAGATCCTAAATGTCCGTTACTATATATAATTTCCAGAGAAGTAGTTTGTTCTGGAGTCAACATAGAGCCATCGGAGATGAACTGGTTCTGAATTTCTTGTGATAAACTCGAGTATAGTCTCTCATTTGTTTTCATTATATTTTGTTTACTTGTATTCTTAGAAAGACTGTCAGTTACAGAGGCAGATGTAGCGGGTATGATGTTGGCATCAGAGTTAGTAGCTATGATGCTCATATGAGAATTTTGCAGTGTATCGTTGATCAGCTTGCCGCTGGAAACAGAAACGTGAGCCACGGCAGCCAATTTTTGCCTCATATAATCTACTTCTGGATCCTTCAGCTCACCTTTGAACGCTTCATTCCACGTGAATTCGTTCGGGAACACAGGTAGGTGGTTCATCGTTTCGGAGGAACTGTTCAGAGTGTTCCAGATGTGTGGATGGCTGCCGATGATGCTCTGAATGGTTCCGGTGTCCTGAATGACGGAATGTGAGCCATAGTGGCGGGTGAGGGATGCCGCCAGCTGCTGGGTAACGGTCGGGTCGGGAGAGTTTAACACAATGTAGTCAGGATGGTCACCTCTCTGTTTGCGTGTGAGATCTTCAATCAAGCTCTGAACCATGGACAAAACGTCCCGTGTGTTGCTTCCAACGCTGTGGTCGACGAGGACACCATGGGTGTTGCCTGGACTTTCCTTACTCTGGCTAATTTTGTTTCTCTTTCCGTCATCTCTATTTGAGTAAGTGATTTGCTGGATCTTACTGTCACTCTCACTGCTTATATCATCGGTGTAAGCATTTCTATAATTATATGGTATAGTTTCACTGTTAACCTCATAAGTCTCTGCTCCATCATCTACAGCTTCACCAGCAAGTACTGTCGTACGCTCTCCTTCAGCAGCAGTCACGTCATCGGAGCCTTCCGAAGGGTCACTTACATTTACCAAACTGACTTTGCGAGGAAGGTAGCCATGATTGGGTGTAGATAGTGGCAGCAACAGTAGTAGTGAAGGTGATCCAGCCACTTGGTGCAGCGGAGTTCCCGGCCCAGCGTTACCCTTACTTTGAAGTGGCCGCCACACACAAACAACCACACACATCTGGAAATACATTTAAGATGAATGCTATGAAAACCACACACACACACACACACATCACACATCTGGTAACAAAATATTTGAGTAACCCCAAACATATAGTAATTTTTAAGGCAATTAAAACGGTTAGATATAATTGAAAGTAATGATACTGTTCGATGTTCAACGGTCTCGTAGATACAAAATTGCTGTCAATTAAAACTGCTCCAGTCATCTCGTTGACTGTTACGGAGTAACTGTATCCTCTTCCACACACTAAACAGTAAATACTCGATTGATTATAGCTTACGAAACCTGTTTATGACACTCATGGACAATAAAGTATTAATATCATTGTTAGTAGTACATAGCCGTAATATTACTGGTGCAAGTATTATAGCAGCAAAAACCTCTCAAGTTGCCCTGATGTCGGTGAGGGGCTCTTGATCCAATAAAATGAACGTGCTTTTCCCTTCCTGGGAATAATCTAGATTTCCTCCCATTCTCCTTGAACGGTATGACCCTTAGGGTCTGGTTCTTCCTGATAATAATAATGATAATAGCAAAACTAATAACGTTAGTAATATAGCAACAAACGTTCTGACATGAAGTGTACAATTACTCGCTTCCGGTAATATGTATTATATTAAAAAGCGCTAAACCCGCATGGATCACCCATCGATCTCAGGCTTGCAGTAACATCCATCAGACAGTTTGGCGAGTATTTTTAACATTTCATAATTTCCCAACAACTAAAACACTCAGGGGCCAATCCCCGGGAGAGACGGATAGGGAAAGTCTCCTAGAATATGCTGCCTCTGGCCATGTAGCTGTAAATAAATACCTGGGAGGAAGTGAACTGCTGTAGGTAACATCCTGGAGGGTAGAGCATCTCAGGATCTCAGAAGGAAATAATTATTATAACCAAAAGGAAGCGCTAAACAGAAGGAAATAAGCCATATTGCTTGAGTAATTGTGGCTTGTTGTAACCATTCGAGGTTGACAATGAGAAGAAAAACTTTTTTTCTTTCGCAGTGGCAAAAATTATAACTGTATATGTCACCTTTTCTCTCAGCACAAGAGTGGATATTAAGAGTGTAAAAAGGGGAAGACAGTAATCCTGAAAAGACAGGTCCGAGTTGAGGGGCAACTCCCGCAGACACAACTTAGTGAATACACCAACTGATTACAGGCACATGAAATTTTATGACGCAAGTTCACATTATTATTACTTATTGGAATATTCACGGAGAAATGATAAACCCGTAGGGGTAGTACAACGCTTAAGGAATAAATAATAATGGTCCATCCAAGGAGCTCCTCTTGGAGCTCAGTGTTTCACACCTTTCTGACCATCACAGTTATAAACGAAGAGTAGGTTTCAGGTTGACTAGTTGAGGCTTCCACACTCCTGGTGCTGCATACTGAAAGTGAGGCTTCTACACAGGTGCTGCATACTGAAGGTGAGGCTTCTCCACTCCTGGTGCTGCATACTGAAGGTGAGGCTTCTCCACTCCTGGTGCTGCATACTGAAGGTGAGGCTTCTACACTGGTGCTGCATACTGAAGGTGAGGCTTCTACACTCCTGGTGCTGCATACTGAAGGTGAGGCTTCTACACTGGTGCTGCATACTGAAGGTGAGGCTTCTACACTGGTGCTGCATACTGAAGGTGAGACTTCTACACTGGTGCTGCATACTGAAGGTGAGGCTTCTACACTGGTGCTGCTTACTGAAGGTGAGGCTTCTACACTGGTGCTGCATACTGAAGGTGAGGCTTCTACACTGGTGCTGCATACTGAAGGTGAGGCTTCTACACTGGTGCTGCATACTGAAGGTGAGACTTCTACACTGGTGCTGCATACTGAAGGTGAGGCTTCTACACTGGTGCTGCTTACTGAAGGTGAGGCTTCTACACTGGTGCTGCATACTGAAGGTGAGGCTTCTACACTGGTGCTGCATACTGAAGGTGAGGCTTCTACACTGGTGCTGCATACTGAAGGTGAGGCTTCTACACTGGTGCTGCATACTGAAGGTGAGGCTTCTACACTGGTGCTGCATACTGGTGAGACTTCTACACTGGTGCTGCATACTGAAGGTGAGACTTCTACACTGGTGCTGCATACTGGTGAGACTTCTACACTGGTGCTGCATACTGGTGAGACTTCTACACTGGTGCTGCATACTCAGCAATATTATTATTATTATAATCAAGGGGAAGCGCTAAACCCGGAGGATTATACAGCGCCTGGGGGGAGGATGTGGAAGGCATTCAGGCTTAATTCGGGGAACTGGAGCACAGATCCAATTCCCTAAATCAAGAGCCCCTCACCAACATCAAGGAACCTTCCTTGAGGGGATACTCAGCAATAACTTTCACGTAAGAACTCAACATTCCTCTTGATAATTTCCCTACAATAATATTACGGTACTCTTGGCCAGTAAGTTTTTCCGGTATCATCCCTACTTGGAAACTTTTTTCTACGGTTTTATCTGGTAAATTATATGGAACCTGACCTAAGATAACCCAATGAAATGCGACATAGTTTCCATTGGGGGTTTGTTTATTTTTGTATTTATATGAAAATAACAATCTGGAAATTACCATTGAAGGTCACGACACTAGTCTTCAATAAATTTATGGCTATTAATTAATCACTCGCGCAAATTTACACAAGGCATATTGATTTAATTACTCAAAATAAACTTCATTAACTTGAATAAAAGAAAATCCAGATAATCACAAGGCGTTGGCTATTAGATGTATCCGATTTTGAAAATTAATATATCGCCCTTGTACTCATGAAATTAAGTTTGTGGAGTCCAAATCTAGAGCAAGAAAAACTGAAAAAATTGAATTTTGATATTGACTGCATATACGTAGTTACATTATACCTGTGGAAAATACTGTACATATTTTCCAGAAATTCAGTATTTATATGTAAATAGATGGCCATACTGTATTTAATAATATTTGTCATAGAAAACGGAAAGCCTGCGTCTGCGCAGACGAGAATGGCCATCTTGGTTTTTGAATTTGTATTAGAAACGTTGGTGAATGGGGAAGAATTTTTCGTGCTCTAGAGGTTAAAATTGTGCTGACACCTCTCAAATAGGAGGCGAAATTGGTGGATATGCATTCCTGCATAACTTGAGATATAAGGCGACTGGACACCTTTCCAGGACCTCAGATAAGCTCTCTAGATTTGTGTATAATTCTGGCCAGCATTATTTTCATACATTTAGTTAGAGTGAGGTTTTCTGAGTATGATACACATTAATCTCCAGTCAAATTGGCGAGTGATATTAAGATATATTTTCCTTCTGTTATGTAATTGTGTATATATATATAACCATTCATTATTTTTAATATACAGTCCACAAATTTATATATTTACCAGTATTCCTGGTGTATGTATATTTCATTTAATTAATAGGTCCAGTAAGGCCTGAGCTTGCTACCATCTGCAGCTCATAAGGCTGCCATCCCCACGAGCCCCTTCGAGGCGGGGTAGATGGCAGACCAGAGGCCTAGCTTCTCCCTACGAGCCCCGTGAGGGCGGGGAATGTGGCTAGGCCTGGGGACACTTGGTCCCAAAGATGAGGAGGTACTTGTCCCTCCTCCCATGGGAGACTTAAGTCTCGAGACACTCCCCAGATAGGGAGCCAAGGCCGGGTCACCACTACTTGGAAAAGACCCGGGCCGGGAGAATACCGGCGAAAAAAAAAAAAAATAGGTCCAGAGCAACTTGTGGATATGACAGTGGTAGGTATCGAAGGGGGACATTTTTTGCGACCTAGGTGTCCCAAATTCCTACTTGTCTATGTAACATTGATAAATAATAATTATCTTTGTTATCATTTACTGTTATGTACATAATTAGTTACATTCAGATAAATGCAATTTTCCACAATACCCGCTAAACTACATTATTATTTTATTACTTTCATAAAGGAGTGCTAAACTCGGAGGGGCCATACGGCGCCATGAGGAGTGGGAGACAATCAGGATCGTTCCAAGAAAGCGGGTCTGGCATAATTCCTTGTTTTAAGAATACCTCACCGGCGTCAAGGAAGCTCTTTGGAGAGGTCGCTAGGTTACAAACTTCAATTTAGTGAGACTCTGAACAGCATAACGGAGAAATATCGAGCACAAACTGTACATATAAAAAAAAAAATTCCAGCGCACTTTACCACTCTCAATAAAAGCGTCATGCTGAGTATGGAGTGTCCTTGCTCATGTCAGGGGAGTCTCTCATGTCAAGGGGAATTTCACTCAACGTCAGGTTAGCTTCACTCATGCCAGGTGAGCTCCTCACCTCAGCACGTCTCGTCACAGACTGAAGAAGTTACTCACTGAGATCATAACATGGCCGTTCACTCCAAGACAAAACAAAACAAAAATTGCTAACAGGCACAGAAGAGACACTACCTTTCTTGCTAGTTGTGTTCCTTTGATTTAGTTGTGCAATGTGATATTGCATAAACACACTAAAGCTGCAACTCTCTCTCGAATATCCAGAATTTATATTTTTAATAAACTACTACAAAACTCAGGTATGTGTAGGCTACTATGGCACCATAGACGGGTGTCATGGTGTAGTGGTGGTACAAACGTAACCTACACACATACTGTAATAGTCTCTAGGTCACAGTGTAGCGGTAAACCATAAGTTGTTCTTAGTCTCCTGGGAATCTCTAACACTAAGCTACAACTGAAGCAGCTACACCAGGCTAACAGGAACCCTCTTGGAAACATTTCTTTCCATCGAGTTTTCTGGGTATATCTGTAGTTCAGTCATCATCTGTTACTTTTGCATGCCTATAACGTAATCACTATTTATTGTGAATATAATGCACCCTCCTATGTGATGGTAAATGATCTCTTGTAAATACAAAATGGGTAAAAAAAACTCCAGACTTACTGTAAGGATTTAAATATTGTGTTAATGATATCTACATACTGTAGTTCTCATGACGATACAGTAAAACAAGATGTCAGAAACGTAAGTCAGTGGTGTTGATAGACAAATATAGTGAGCTATACCATAACCTATTTTGTCTGTTATTTATGATGTTAAGATTATGTTTATTGTACTTCTAGGCTACACGCGCGCGCGCGCACACACACACACACACGTCCAACATTCAAGACTTAACTTCGTAAGCACAAAGTAATGTCAAGCCTTATATGTACACACAAAAATAACCACAGGGGAAGTTGAATGATAGCTATCATTCAATTCCCCCTACTTTCCAAAGTGATGACATTCTCATATATAAATTTTCCGTGTAATAGGCCATTTTGTAAGACGGTAATGCCTATATAATAGTAACTCCAGCTCAGCTGTCGCTACTGATCTCATAGTGGAAGACGTAAAGATACACTCATCGCCCTACTGAAGTCTCTCAGTTCAGTCTGAGAAATTTCGTTACATAATTCATGAAAACCAACCTTTGTGATGAAATATGTCAACAAAACATGTCTAGCTCATGCTTCCACTATGTAACTCTCATACAGAATAAGGTGGCCGCTCACTACGGATGTTCCCACCATATATTATAATCATACAACTTTTGTGAACAACATAATAGCCACACACTACGTGTGTTCCACCATGTAACTCATAAAAAACAAGGTAGCAGCACATTTCATATTGGGAACATGTGTGTGTGTTCTGTCTTGTATATATAAAATAGGGTAGTCGCACAATGCAGCTGCTCCCATTAACTCATGTAGAATAGGGTAGCGGATGTACTAGGTTTTGACCCATTTTTTTAACTTGGCTCAGTGACTGGCCATAACGTCCTACCTAAATCCTCGAGTTGCTGTTCATTTGGTTGATGTCCATACTTTTACCTCTGATTATTGTATCATCATACTCTCCATTAAATACTAAAATGTTTATGTCGTTTTTTAAAGTGCCGAAAATGAGCCACAGATAGAGGACACAGTGGGAAAGCCTGAACTGGAGGAAGGTGACACTTCTACACCGTTACTTCCACCACTCCCACTAACATGCCTCCTTCCACCCCACACCCTCTTGCTCTGCTTGCTCTTTCCAGTCACAAATGGTGCGGACTTACCTGTACTCACCTATTTGTGGTTGCAGAGGTCGGGTTGCAGCTCCTCACCCTGCCTCTTCACTGGTCGTTACTGGGTTCATTTCCTCCTAGCCTCATGGGCCCTGTCGTATCTGCTTTTACAACGGTGTACAGATCTTGCCTCTTCCTCTTCGTTACTCATCTAATTTGTGTTCGCGTGGATTGTGCTTCAGCTCTTTGGTCTCCATAGATCATCTCGTGTGTTCTTTCATGGAAGTTTTTACACTAAACGATGGCTGAGTCTCCTGCCGCCTGGCTACCTTGCACTTTCATTATCTTCACTATCACGCTGTCTCTGTGGCATATTTATACTATTAATTTATGTTTGTCCCTTCTATTTCCGTTCAGTCGCACTGTTTCTATCTAGTATGTTTATACATTCTGAGGCAGTGGAAAACCTTCGTGTACAAAAATGATTATTGACTGACCCTATTGAATAGATGTGTACATTGCCTCGCATCATGGAGGTATTGCAGATATTGCATTAATGAGGAAAAATTCTCTGATACAGTTTGCTCTATGGTGGGCCAGGGTAGAGCAACTGCTGACTAATCATTAAATTAAACACCATTATCGATTTCACAACGCTGGGTGAGCAGTTTGTTGGTAGTATTCGGATAATGCGCTTAAATTTATCATCCCGTACGATTCATATCACCAAATGTTTATTATATTTATATGTAGCGCTAAACTGGCGTGGGTCATTCAGCGCCAGGAATGGTTGAGGATCGAGCCTCCGTCCTGCGATCGCTCCACTCTCCCAGCTACACCTCGTATATTATAACTAATACCTGTGTGAAGTAATACAAACACGTTTATGGATACGCTTGTGAGTTACTACTACACCCTAGGACACAGCATTGGGTTTCGTTGGTTGACGTTACCCAATAAATCTTTTTATTGTCATTTCTTTTTCTACCATCCATACGCCCGCCTTGCTCTGTTGAAGAGTCGCTAATGAGAGTGGGAAAAAACAGAAAAATAGGGCAGCGGATGAGTGTAGTAGCAGTAGTAAGGGTGTAATGATGGAGGAGTGTGAGGTTGAGGGTGGTGGGTGTGATAGAGCGTGAGGATAGAGGGTATGGGTGGCGAGTGTGGTGATGGAAGCGTGAGGGTGGTAGGTGTTGGTGACAAGTGTGATAACGGAGTGTGAGGATTGTGGGTATGGGTAGCGAGTGTGGTGATGGAATTTGAGGGTGGTGGACGAGGATACAGAGGATCAGGTGTGAGACAGTGAGTAACGTTAGAGTAGTTTCCTCATTCCCTTGGGCAATGCACTCAGATCATGAACCAGAGGTCGCTGCTGCCTTGGACCTCCACAGACCAGCGAGTACCTCACTTTCACATCACCTTAGACACTACATTTTGCTGCATCCCGGCCGAAGTGCCAGCACCACTACGGGGTCATTTTATGGCGAATAAGCTAGGAACAACAACGGGGTGGTACAGACATTAGCGCCTTGGACAAACACAACCCACAATCTTCACCAGGCCTCAGGAAATCCTAAGGTGTGTATATAAAAAAAAACAGCTTTGTGTCCAGGATCTTCATTTATGCATCACTGAGTATACATGAAAATGACTCGTGCAACGAGTGGGTGGCTAAGCTATGTAGTATGAGGCCATTTGCTGGTCTTGCTGTGAACGTAGCCACTTGTTATTCAAGATTCGTACCAGTAGAATATGTTTTTTTTTCTACTTTTTAAATCTAGTCATGACAGTAGAGTGAAGTAGAATTCTGTTACAATAACCGCTTGAAGATGACGCTTATCTTAATAATTTTATACTTTTACTTTGTGGAGGCTTGGTCACAGACCGGGCCGCGGGGGCGTTGACCCCCGGAACTCTCTCCAGGTAAACTCCAGGTAAACAAACACAGTGCTCACTGAGACAAAAAGACCATGAGAGGATTACAGGTATCTATATACCTTCCACTTGGGGCCTGCAGTGAGGATATCGTTAAACATTTTACTTAGGTTGAGTAACAACGGGAGCTGCAAAAGTTTCGCTCCAGGAAAGCTGGAGTTTTTATTACTATTATTACAGGCAGTAGCGTGCGTGGCCGTTGGAACTGGTCGCCCTTCCAGCTACGGTACTAGAGTTCTTCCTCGATCCTTTCCTTGGTGTCAGGAAGACGAGGAGTGATCTTGATAGGTATAACTGGGGCCTGAGAGGTGTGATAGACAAAGCTGACGTGTGGAGTATGGTAGAGGAAACACTGAAGAAAGGGAAGAGATACAGGACGATCCAACCCATGATATTCAGGAACTTTATCAGTCTCTGTGTTGAAAGTTTCCGAGTTCCCTGACACTTGTTGGGCAAGTTAGAATGCTTTAGAAATTCAGTCAACCCCTTCAAGGGATTGGAGGGGCGGGGTGCCGTAATGCTAGCGAAGGCCTCTTGATTTTAGGAATTAAAGGTACTTTCTCCTTTCTTATATCAACCCTGGTTACCTCTTATTTCTCAGGCGCAACATGACCCTTAACAGGTTTAGGCTCTTCACGAATATAATAATAATATAATAATAATAATAATAATAATAATAATATTATTAATATATTATTATATAATAATAATAATAATAATAATAATAATAAATTATTATTATTATTATTATTATTATAAGAAGAAGAAGGAGAAAGTAGAGATGTTGGAGAGAGAGACAAGGTACTGGCTCTGACCCATGACATTCAAGACCGCCTTTATCAAAGACTTGGACGTTCGTCACGCGAATGTAAAAAAATGCACCATTTTTAACGTGAGCCCCAGTTTATAGAAGGATCTAAGGATCTCAAGGTTCTTGGGTTATCCTTGATTATTAATTGTCGTTCACAATCCCGTCAGGATCTTCTTCAGACATAACAAAAATATAAATAGAGGAGGTAGAGCCCATTTTGTGCAGATTCCTTCGCACAAAATGCATCACAAAAATGTTGAGTTATACAGTACACATACTCTCAAGGTAGGAGTTGATTAAAACAGCGCCTTTGCTATGAAAATAACGCTAATTGCTAAGTAGGGAGTCATTCACGACATTGTACACCGTGTACGTCAAGCCCATACTGGAGTATGCGGCACCGGTATAGAGCCCTCACCTGGTCAAGCATGTCAAGAAATTAGAGAAAGTGCAAAGGTTTGCAACAAGAGTAATCCCGGAGCTAAGGGGTATGTCCTACAAGGACACTGAAGGAAAGGAGGGATGAGGGGACATGATAACGACGTA